TACGTATAATTTAAACAACTGAATATACTATATTTTAGAGTAGATAATTATATACAGATAAAGTTAACAATTTAAATAATTCAATATGGATAATTCACATTAAATACTAATTAAAATATTTAAGTTGTCCAAAATAAACTTTAAAAATTTCTAAAAAAAGAAAAATATAATGCTGTTCAAATAAAGTATCTTGAACTTTCTCTTTATTTCAGTTTTTATATAGATATATAGATGAATCCAAATTCAAATTTAACTAATCTTATAAGTTTGTTTATATTTTTTTATAATTATTATATTTTTCATTTCAAATATAAGATATATATATTGAGTAAATTACAGAAATTCATTTTTTTAGGGAAAAAATGATTGGAATTATTATTATTATATATAAAATCTTGTAGGTATTTAAAATAATTTAAATACTTGTAGGCTTATTTAAAATATTTTTAATATCTTTGAAATTTTTTTAAGTTTTTTGTAGAGATTTATCTAATCCGAGAAGTATATATATTAAAAAAACTATATTTAAAAACATGATAGTTTAATCATCCATTGCATAGAACATATTTAAATCTTTTGCGAAATTGTGACACATCTTAAATTCCTTGCGAAAATAAAGTGTAAGAGTCCTCAAAATATGAAATGTATAATATATATATATATATATATATTAATATCTAAGTAAATATCATACTCAGCAAGCGAGTGGATCACATGATGACTTTTTAGGGAAAAAATGATTGGAATTATTATTATTATATATAAAATCTTGTAGGTATTTAAAATAATTTAAATACTTAATTTTTAATTTTTGTAGAGATTTATCTAATCGAGAGTATATAATTAAAAAACATATTAAAACATGATAGTTAATACACCATTGCATAAAACATATTTAAATCTTTTGAAATTGTACACACTTAAATTCTTGCAAAAATAAGTTAAGCCAAATATGAAATGATAATAAAATGAAAAAATAAAATCAAGTAAACAACTCAAACAAAACAATGAAATGTCACAATGATCTTTTGTCAATCGACAATAAACCGAAGAAGTTAAAGTAAATAATTAAGTTAAGAAATTTAAAAATTTTATATAAAAAAATAGAATAGTAAACAAAAAGAGAATCTTGAGCTTTCTGTGTTTATATATGACAATATATAAATATTCAAATTCTCAATCAACCTAAAAAAAATATAATTTTTGAACGCTAAAACCACTAATTTTACATCAACCAAAAATTTTGAATTTTAAATCAAAATAAGAAAAACCACATAGATAGCATTTTTTTATGATAAATTTGATATACTCATACAAATAATTAATTGAATTGAAGTTCCCAAACATTATTGATTTGAAAATATTCAACTTATCGTAAGAAGAAAAACTAAACTTGTATCCTTATAATTTACTCAACAACTGAAAATCATAATTAAACAAATCAAAAGAGAAATAAGAAAAAAGAATACTACTCACCATCTTGACTTATGGTTCTTAAATTGTATCTTATAATGTATATTTTTGAAACACGGTTTTTACTAATATTTTTTAAATTATTAAATTCTAAACATACTATATTTAATTTGAAGTTTAGATTATATAAAATTAAAAATTTTTATATTTGTAAATTATGAAAGTTTAAAGATTTAGACATTGTATTGTTTTTCTGTCACGTATTTGATTTCTACCAAAAAAATAATAAATAGCATATTTAATTTCAATTTAAAAAATAATAAAAATATTTTAAAAATATGTAAATTATGAAAATCTAAAAAATGTAATTGAAATGTTTAGATTTTTTATAATGCAATAATTGGATGAATTTAATGATTAAATTTTTCTATATTTTAAATTTTTCTATATTTTAATGGTTAAAATTTAATTTTTCAAACCCAAGTGATTTAGGTCATGGGTTGATCCTCCACGACGCAAACTCTCCCGGGATAGCCCATTTTCCTCTGAAGGCGAACAATGATTAATCAAATTTGTAAACCGTTAAAACAGATACGGACCTAGATACCTCGTTCAAGTATAAAATATATATATATAATTTTTCATTAGAAATTAAAAAAGAAAATTCTTGGGGTGGCTCCAGCATCCTTCAGCCCCAAGGAGGTCTGCCTCTATTCAGTAGTGAAACAAGACCAAAAAGGTATTTAATTTTTCTTTTTTTATTGGAAGATTGAACGAGTACCAATAATGTTGAAGGCTATATAAGGGATAACTCTCCCTTTTAACTCGTTAAACTAGTAAAACCTCTTCTAATTAAAAGAATTCAATTCGAATCCTCTCATTCTTTATATTTTTATAAAAAAGTGAGAAGATTAATCATAAACACCTGTTTAATATAAGTATTTTATTTTTGATTGGTCTAAAATGTGAAACTTTCAAAGAAACATCTCAGTGGTGAAGTTTGCAATGTTGCATTGCCCAGCATAGAAAAAGTGGACGAAAATTAGAAGCTTCGGTCCAAAATCAAAAGTTGATTGTCAAATGAGTGGGGCTATATATCTTCACAGGCACGAAATAAATAAAATGAATGTAAGTCATGACACAAACTTGTTTCAGCTTAGCATTTCCATATTCATTTGGAAAAGCCTATTGCTAAGGCCTTAATTTTTATATTTGGCCAAGCCACAATAGTTAAGGATTGACAGTTCAGCCTTAAATGGAGAGTTCAATTAACATCTATACATTTTTTTTTTTTTTTTTTTTTTTTTGAGTAAGTGTACAGTGAACATGCGAAGAGTAACGTTGTTTCAGCTTAGCATTGGAGTCCATAGGTTCATGGCGTTGGAAAAAGCTAAATTGCATAGAGGCCCTTAAATTTTTATATATGTTGAGCACCCTAGTGGAGGTTTGGCACAAAAAGGCACAATAGGTTAAGGACTTGACAAAGTTTTCAGATCCCTTAAATGGAGAGGTTCAAGTTAACAGATCCTGATAGCGACTATTTTTATTTTTTTTTCTTTTTTTTTCTGAGGGGCGGAAATTCAAGAGATCTGTACATGATATAAGGTTTTTATTAGAACTCAAAAATACACCAAAGACAGGTACGTGTAGTATGCTAAATGCACAGAAAAGGTATAAGTTCACCCATATGTCGTCCGGCTGCTATTAGCAATGAAACGAAAAATATTAGTGAACAGACAATGAATTATCAGCTTACAAAACATGAGTCATGGGGAGGCTCTATATTAGAATAACTTAAAAAATTTAGGATAGAAATGAATTTTTTAGAGAGAAAAAAAATATTTATTCCACTTGCACGAGCAGGGGAGATGAGTATCATGATTAAATACAACCCCATTTTTCATCTTACGAGAATAATAATTTTAATCATCGTTAATCATTTAGTAAAAATGAAAATATTCCTTGGTCATAATAATGGCCGTCAAATCTATTGAGAGCGATATGATATACTAATTCATATCTTATTAATTATAATTATTAATTAAAAGAAAAAAAGAAAAGAGAGTAAACAATTATTATTTATAATGGTACTTTAGACCTCTAGATCCTGGTGAGTTTTACTTATGGCATCAAACTAAATTAAAATAAAAGTTTTTGTAAAAATGTTGTTCCCACTTAATCATTTCTTTCAAGTGAACTGTGTAATTCGGAATATCCCTTCATGGCTTCAACCAAAATTTTCATTTTATTGATTTGATCTTACGAGGTCTACGATGGCATTCACTCATGAGGACTAGATCTCTTAGGTAAATCAATCTGCAGCAGACAAACAACTGCGCAAATGCACGCGCGGGACTTTGATTTAGGGTTGGTGCTTATTAAAAATGACTTAAAAAATGGCTTAGTTTTGTGTAATAACGGTGTAAGGTGTGTCGTACATTTTTAGGTTAATTTTCCCTACCTGACATTGTATTTTTTTTTTTTTTTTTTTTTTTGAGGGGAATTAAGATCTGTACATGATAAGGTTTTATAGAATCAAAATACACAAAGGTATTTATGCTCAATGCACAAAATATAAGTTAACCCAATGTCGCCTCTATTGCAATGAAACGAATATTATGAAAACAAGATATCAGCTTACAACACATGAGTCATGATTTATATTAGATAATTAATTTAGAAATGAATTTTTTAGAGAGAAAAAAAATATTTATCACTTGAGACAGTAATGAGTATAATTAAATACAACCCATTTTTATCTTACAATATTTTTATCATGTATCAATTTGTAAAATAAAATATTCTTTCATAATCCGTATCATGAGAGTGATATAATTATCTTATTATTATAATTATTAAAAAAAGAAAAGAAAAAGAGTAACAAATATTATAATGGATTAGCCTTAGATCCTGTGAGTTTACTTATGGATCAAACTAATTAAAATAAAAGTTTTGTAAAATTTGTTCCCACTTATCATTTCTTTCAAGTGAATGGTAATGAATACCTTCATTTCAACAAAATTTTATTTTTATTGATTTGATTTATAGGTCTATGGATTCACTCATAGACTAGATCTAGGTAAATCAATCTACACAACAAAACAACTCGCAAATGCACGCGCGGACTTTGATTTAGGTTGTGCTTATTAAAAATGCTAAATGTTTTTTTTTTATAAGTTAAGGTAACATTTTATAAAAGGTTAAATTCTCTGACATTAATTTTTAGCGGTTTGTGAAAAAACTATTCAAACAGCTAAACGCTCTTAAAATAATTAATAGTTATCAAAATAATTAATTTACCCGAATAAGCCCAGTTATAATTAAACAGTAGATAGAAGCAAGCATAGCCCCACGAAAACGTATCATGGAGTTTAGTGGGTCGTTTTTACGCGAGCAAGCGGGCGTCCTTGTACGCATCTCCCCTGCGTCAGGAACAAAGACAAGTAAGATGCCACCAACAACAACATACTTTTCATTTCATATATTACTAATTAATACCAAGCATATCCCACATAATATTCTTCGATCATCGTCATACTAGGATTATATGTATGACTGGAATTTGATGAACACTTATAGTTTCACTATCAACTATAGCAAAAATGGTGAAAACTACGCCGGCTGATCAACCCGATGAACAAGAAGAGGTGATCATTGAGGTAGAAGAGAAGAAGAATAATGATGGTCATGATGAAAAGGAGAAGCTGAAGAACGTTAGTAATGGAGTTTTGCCATTTCACAAGCTCTTGAGCTATGCAGATTCAGTGGATTGGGTACTTATGGTGTTAGGGACATTGGGTTCTATTGTACATGGATTGGCTCAACCAGTTGGATATCTCTTGTTAGGGAAAGCACTTGATGCTTTTGGCAACAACATTAACGACACTCATGCAATGGTTCAAGCACTCGACAAGGTATATCAATGTCCTTTATTCAACCACTACAGGGATTGTATAGTGTTTGTATGTTTATATTATATTTATACACACACACAAACACATAACCGGTTAGTTCTACCCTTTTAGCAGTAGTTGGTTCAAATCTGAGTAAACTACAATCCTTCTTCATGGATTATTACATTTATTCAGTCTCTTCCGCTCTTATATCAATATATACAAAAATTAACTGATTTTAAGAAGAATTGTACCAGGTTATTCCATACGTGTGGTACATGGCCTTCGCCACCTTCCCAGCTGGAATACTAGGTAAGTTAATCTGCTTCTACTCTTTTATACAGTTGTTTGGATTTAATCATACCATTCTACAACTACAACAGATTATTAAATATTAAAAGGTTATAATATAGAAGATTAAAGTTTAAATTGGCTCATCTAATCACGTTCAAAATTACTTTACGCTTTATTGGGAAATAAATTTTTCATGGAATAAATTGAAAAATTAAAAATTCACGTGTCTTTATTCTTAAAATACTATTAGCATAATAATCTTAGAAGGTTAAAAATAGTGGAGTCACAAGTCAACTTTAAAAGAAAAAAGTTATTTCCCACTTCGGGATGAAAGCAGGATAAATACCGGTGATTTTTGACCTACCCGTATTTTATTTGTACCTATTTAGAATTTTACTATTTGAACAGTTTAAAATTTTACTACTTATATTCGTCTATATCCAAAATTTTAAATTATCTAAATGCAAACGTATTTAAAACATGTTTTACCGATAAATGGATAGGATATCTACAAATATTTATAATCAAACTCATTTAATATAACAGGTAATAGATAGCGAGTACCCAAATATCTATACTCGTATTCTACTCATATCTATTGTGGGTTGTAATTTCACTATTTATAATTACTCATATCTTCGTTAAACAAATCGCTATTTGTACATGTTCCAAATTCACTTATATTTACTCATAACGTTAAACAAATTGAAGTAAGTTAGACACCCAAAAATAACTGTCTCCCTTTCATTGCTATACCTGTCTCCCTTCCATCCCTATGTCACTTGCTAGAAAGATGTACATGAAATTCATTTGGAAATTTTACATGAAATTCATTTGGAAATTTCACTTTTTTAATAAGATTTTATTTAATTATAATTAAATTCATTCAATTCTTTTTTTTTTTTCCATATTAAACACAAAAATTTAAATTTATAAATAAATTTCATAAAATTTTATTCAATTTATTTATTCCCAATAAGAGATTAGAATCGGATTATCACTTTAACTTTTAATTTCATTTAATCAAATTAAATTCAGATCCAAAAATAAACGCGTAATTTTAATAAAAGTGCAAAACAACAAAATAATTCTGTAATTTTCACAGGATAAAAATTAGACATTACTCCAGTTTCAATAAATGCACCAATACTATTGATTAGAGTGATATCTTGTTTAATTACCATGAAAGAGTAAAAAAATTTCGAGTTCTACGGCTCAAAGGAATATTACACCTCCAAATTGTCATTGAAAAAAAAAAAAAGAAAAAAGAAAAGAAAATAGTGCCAATAAATGCAATATCCGGATACGACAAAGCCTTCCGTATAAGATTAGCACTGTAATTCCACTTGTAATCTTCGTCCCACTTGCCTCGGCTTGGCCTTTGGATTGTGGAAAATATATAATTATTTTAATTTAATTTAAATAAATAATATTATATTCCTAAAGAAATCATAAAAAGGTTACTAGGATAGAAAAGATATACTGAGGAAACAAAATTACTTTCTCTTTAGTGAGATTATATGAACAAATGCCAGAACCTACTACTGGTACTAGATTGAAACAAACATGCCGCACTTTTGTTCAGATTTTTCATTTGTCCTTCAGGAAACAAAATTAAGAATGTTCATCATTAATGATTCCAATTTCCAACTGTCCCTAAAATCCTACACAGCAACACCTTGCAAACCTGCTGCACCTGCAAAGAACTTGACACAGCAGATAAAGGGGCTTCAAAGATTATCAAAAAGTCAATTTCCAATTTCAATCAAGGTAAAAGATTCGTGGGATAATAATGGAAGGGAATAGAATAAATAAGCCCATGCAAAATAGTACTGTCTCAACAAATAAACTGACAATTGAACTTTCCAAATGAAATTAAATGGCATTTTGGTTGGTGCATTAAACCTTTCAACTGGTAAAATCATATATATTATGAGCACAATCTAAGTGCATAAAAAGCAAATGAATCAAATTCGTATACTCACATTTGGAAATTGCAGAGATTGGGTGCTGGATGTATGCAAGCGAAAGACAATTAGCACGGTTAAGATTAGCCTTCATGGAAGCTGTCCTTAGCCAGGAGATTGGGGCTTTCGATACTGATTTAACAAGTGGAAAGATCATCACTGGAGTTACCAATCACATGAGCATAATAGAAGACGCAATAGGGGAAAAGGTATCCATGCAAATTAAGACATCTAATTAATTTAAGTGAAAAAAACTGTTAACATTCATTTATGATAGTGCTGCTTATCTTTGATATATCATCATGTAAAGAAACAAATAAGCATTAGTGGTTAAAAATGTAACAAAAATTACATAATAAGTGAAAAACTAATATAACTTCAGGTCAACAAGTATAATTTCGGACTAAATAACCTAAACTAACAAAAGAAAAAAAAAAAGAAGTAAAAAATAAAAGCAAATTTAGGTTGTTCACGTCAGCAAATTCAGGTCTCATTTCACCTGAATTGAAATGGTGATAATGTGATAGAAAAAAAGGGGCAGCCAGTGCCCAAAGCTCCCGCTATGCACGGGTCCAGGAAAGGGTCAGACCACTTTGGGTCTATTGCATGTGAAGTGCTAAAGTTTAAAAGATTCTACATGGAATTACCAACATTATAAGTTTGTGATGAGTTACTAAAAGTGCTAAAGTTGAAGTGTTTCTTTTGTAATTAAGCCAAGACTAAATGATAAGGGAAAAACTTTGTATTAGCACAGAATAATTGCAATGCAAAGTTAGAAACAAAACAATAGAATAGTTGTCATTTTTTTGCCTCCTAGTTCACTTCTTATCTCATGTAGATGTGATCACATTTCTTTGGCTTTCTTCTGAAGAAAAGAAAAAAGATACGAAAATGAACAAAGGAAATGTTTTCTTGAAAGATAAGAGGATAGCCAAAAATATCACAAATGAAAGAAGAAGTTCAGTTGAGAATTTTTTATTTATTTATTTTTATTTATCAATCATTATCATTATAGATTAAAGACTACATATGGCACCAATAAAATAGAATGATAATGGATATAGGTAAAAAAAAGAAATTAAATTTTCATCCATGTCATCTACTTATACTCTCGTGATTCCAAGTAAAGAGATAGACAATTCTTGAGAATTAAAATAGAAATTAATAGAAAGAATAGAATATAAAAATAGAAACCTAATATTACAACAATTAAATATTAAGAAAAATTAAGCTAACCTAGTTTGTCATTGGTAGTTGGGCCATTTCTTGTCGAGCTTTGCAGCATTTTTCTCTGGAATATTGATTGCAGCTATATGCTCTTGGGAAGTGGCATTAGTTACCCTGTTAGTTGTTCCAATGATTCTGGTGATTGGAGCCACCTACACAAAGAAAATGAACGCTATATCCGCAGCTAAAATGTTATACCTATCAGAAGCGACAGCCATGGTTGAACAGGTATTTAACAAATCTTGAGATGTTAAAAAATGATCTAAATTATGAAGCGGTCATTTCTCACTAAAGACATATCTGCTTCTCATGTATGACAGGCTATATGTCAAATCAAGACAGTTTTTTCATTTGTGGGAGAGAATCATGAAATCAAATCTTTCTCACAGAGCATGTTCAAGCAGCTTTCTCTTGGTAAAGGGGAAGCACTGGTAAAGGGAGTTGGAACTGGAATGTTTCAAACAGTCACTTTCACTTCCTGGGCACTTATCATATGGGTTGGAGCCATTGTAGTTACCGCCAATAGGTCAAGTGGAGGAGAAGTTATAGCTGTGGTTATGAGCATTCTCTTTGGAGCTATGTAAGTGGATCCCCACAACACAACAGAAAGTTCATTGAGGTATACATAATAACTGGCTTTCCTTGATATCAATGCAGATCACTGACCCATGCAGCTCCAGACATGCAAATTTTCAATCAGGCAAAAGCTGCAGGAACTGAAGTTTTCCAGATCATCCAGAGGAAATCACTCATAAACCACAATTCAAAAGGAAAGATGCTGAATGAGGTTGAAGGCAATATTGATATACGTGAAGTACACTTTGCATACCCATCCCGGCAGGAAAATTTAATCCTTAAAGGCTTTTCATTATCAATTCCTGCTGGCAAAATGGTGGCATTAGTCGGTAGCAGTGGCTGCGGAAAGAGTACCATTATCTCCCTAGTTGCAAGGTTCTATGATCCCCAGAAAGGTCCACTGCTCAAGTCCTTGAATGTCGAAGCATTTTGTTCCAATACTAATGCCACAATTACACACACACCATGCACTGCCATGTGCCTATTTTGTCCATAGGCATCAATTTTCAAGTTTCAAGCGAATAAGAATATGAACACATGCATGCACAAAAGATTACAGGAGCAATAGATTACCTATAATTGGCTTGAATCTCTTATGAGGCTAATCAAATGCACAAAACTCCAGGTGAGATACTCATTGACAACCATAACATCAAGGAATTTGACTTGAAATTTCTTCGAAGAAACATTGGAGCAGTTTCCCAAGAACCATCGCTTTTTGCTGGCACTATCAAGGACAATTTGAAAGTAGGAAATATGGATGCTAATGATCAGCAAATACAAGATGCGGCATTGATGGCGAATGCACATTCCTTCATTTCACAACTTCCAGATCAATACTTGACACAGGTGATTGACTTACTCTCTTTACTCATCAACCAGTCACCTCTTCCCAGAGCTTTTTTTTTTTTTTTTTTTTGAGGCTTTGAAACTGCATTAAATAGAGGGCTAATCAAAATGCAGCAAACTCCAGGTAGGATAAATTACTCATTGCAGACCACTAGACATAAGGAATTTGACTTGAAGATTTTTCTCTTCGAAAAGAGACAGTTGGAGCAGTTTTTCCCAAGAACCATCGCTTTTTGGCTGGCACTTATGCAAGAGGAGACAATTTGAAAAGTAGGTAAGTATGTAGCATGCTAATGGATCAGCATATACAAAGATGACGGCATGTGGATGGTCCACGAATTGCACATACCACATATCATTTCACACACTTCCAGATCAAATACTTCGGAACAGGTGAATTGACTTACTTCTTTACTCATCAGCCAGATCCCTCTTTCCCAGACGCCTGTTTTATTTATTTTTTTTTTTTTTGAAAGAGAAGAATGAGTTTCCATTAAGCTCAAAGGATAAAAAATATGCCAAACTTAATCGAAGTAGGGAATAGGTTTTTTCCCAACATAGTGAAAGCGAGGCATTTGAGGGTGATGTACGCAGCTCCTTGGCAAGAGTAATGAGCATCCTACAATGTGGCCTGACGATCCTAAATCCAAATTAGACATTAAACATCTGGCAACACTGAAACCAAATATCCTTACAATCCAATAACACAAGTATTACCGTAGAACGAGAGTAGTGATTCAATAAGCACTGTACTTTTTTTTAAGAGCAAAAAAAATACAACTTGGTGAATCAAGGAAAAAATGATCCTTTGCCTGGTATAATTTCTCGCGGATCAAACAAAAGGCAGTGCGCAGAAGCAAGTGGGCCTGCAACTGGTGTTAGCTAGGTGAAAATTCCGGGACCCGTCCATCATCAATAAACCGTGAAGATGGACGTTCGTTAAAATAGCACCGCTTCATGAATAACCCTCCTTTTCAGAAGCTTAGAGTTGCAAACTGAAGATTGAATTTCAAGTTAGCGACATCCAGGTCCATGCGTGTGGGTTAATTGTAAGATCAATCTCAGAGTTGTCATACTCATATTTAAAGTGGCAAGTGCAAAATAGAGAGTGAGCACGCAGCGATGGGCATAATCATCAAAAAAATATGGTGAAGGAGCGAGAAAAAAAAATATGTAAGCACGATATGTATCTCGATGAGGGGAACATAATGGTTAGTGAGCATCGCTTGGAGAGGTGCGCGTAATCGCGGAAGAGCTTTTTTTTTTTTTTTTTTTGAAAGAGAGAATGATTTCATTAACTCAAGGAAAAAAAATCCAACTAACAGTAGGGAATAGTTCCCAACTATGAAAGCGAGCATGAGGGTAGGATGCTCTTGCAAGAGTATGAGCACCTACATTGGCCTGCCGTCTAATCCAAATAACATTAACATCTGGACATTGAACCAAAATATCCTTACAATCCAAAATAACAAGTCCTAAAGATGAGTGATCAATAACATTATTTTTAAGAGCAAAAAAATACCACTTGTGAATCAAGAAAAATGATCCTTTGCCTGGAAATTTCTCGCGGATAAACAAAAGGCAGTGCTGCAAAGCAATGGCCTCAACTGTAGCAGGATCCGGACCTCCATCATAATAACCTGAAATGGCTTTTAAAAAGCACCCTTCATAATAACCTCTTTTCAGAGCTTAAGTTGCAAACTAATAATTGAATTCAAGTTAGCACATCCAGTCATCTTGGTTAATTGTAAGATCATCTCAATTGTCATACTCATATTTAAATGCAGGAAAATAAGCATTTAAGGGCATGGCATAATCACAAAAAAATAATGTGAAACAAAAAATATTGACATGTTATAGAACATAATGGTTATAACTCCTTAAAATTTCTATCTTCAAATGTAGATGGGGGCGTCTAACACTGTCTGCAATTCACTTAAAGATTTAAAACTACAAAAGCTACTGTTAGTTTGTAAAGATATTGCATTGATGCTAACTGGTAAGCTCTATTCCCATTAATAGAGTCAAATTTCTTTTTCTTCTTTTTCTTCTTTTTCTGCTTTTCACTTAAAAGTTTAATCATGCAACTATTTAATTTACTGTATTAAGTGACAACATTCATGAAAAAATGCAATATGAGTAGAAAATTAAGCTATGGGAAGCAAGAGAAAACAAACATAAAATAAAAGAGAAAAAGAAAGGAGCAGAAAAGAAACAAAGAAAATGTTCTCTACTTTTTTTTTTCCAAGTGCCAGATGAAAGATCAATTATGTTCACTTCTTTGGCTAAAATGGGATCCAGGTAGGTGAAAGGGGAGTCCAGTTATCAGGAGGACAAAAGCAGAGAATTGCCATAGCAAGAGCCATTCTTAAAAATCCTCCAATTCTTTTGCTTGATGAGGCTACAAGTGCACTTGATTCAGAATCAGAGAAGCAGGTCCAGGACGCCCTTGAGAGGGCTATGGAAGGCAGGACAGTTATCTTGATTGCACATAGGCTGTCAACTATTGTCAATGCAGATATGATAGCAGTTGTGGAGAATGGACAAGTTACTGAGACAGGAACACATAGCAGCTTGCTGGCTACCAACAACTTCTACATTAACTTATTTAACATGCAGAATATCAGCACAGTTGATGATTCAAGGTTTTCACAATTAAATTTGCTATTCCTTCAGCACAAAATCCAACACAGTAAGGATTTCCTTTTAACTTAACCAATTGGTTGGATGACAGAAATGCAGCTTCTGAAGATATCAACCATCAAAATGCAATTAAAAAAGTTGAACACCATGACAAATCTAGTGATTTCTGCCTGGATCCGAGCCAGTCTTCAAAGCAAGAGGAACAGAAACATAGAACAAAGTCAGCTATATTCTTCAGAATCTGGTTTGACCTCAAACAGAAAGAGCTTTTAAAAACTGCTATAGGCTCCTTCGCAGCTGCTTTCTCAGGCATTTCAAAGCCTGTTTTTGGATTCTTCATTATAACAGTGGGAGTAGCATACTACAAGAAAGATGCAAAGCGGCAAGTTGGATGGTATTCAATCATTTTTGCTCTGATAGGATTGCTGTCATTTTTCACTCACACCTTGCAGCATTACTTCTTCGGGATAGTTGGAGAGAAGGCCATGACAAACCTCAGAGTAGCATTGTATTCAGGTAAGAATCACATTATGATTTCTTTGTGGGAAACAAACTAGTACCAGCATTAAGAACTGTCATCTAGCTAGGATAATGCAGTGGACACTAACTACTATTTTGTAGGTATATTACGCAATGAGTTAGCATGGTTTGAGAAACCTGAGAACAGTGTTGGTTCACTTACTTCCCGGATCATTCATGACACCTCCATGGTCAAAACAATAATTTCAGACCGCATGTCTGTCATTGTTCAATGCATCTCCTCCATACTAATTGCAACAGTGGTTAGCATGGTTGTTAACTGGAGAATGGGTCTTGTAGCTTGGGCAGTGATGCCTTGCCATTTCATAGGTGGATTAATTCAGGCCAAGTTCGCCAGAGGATTTTCAGGTGACTCTGCTGCCGCACATTACGAACTTGTTGCACTTGCTTCTGAGTCTGCAGCAAACATAAGAACCATTGCATCCTTTTGCCATGAAGAGCACATCCTCAAGAAAGCAAAAATATGCCTGGAAAAGCCAAAGAAGAAAAGCAGGAAGCAAAGTATTAAGTATGGGCTCATTCAAGGTGTCTCCCTTTGTTTATGGAATATTGCACATGCTGTTGCACTGTGGTACACAACACGTCTAGTTGAAAGACATCAAGCAAGCTTCGAAGATGGCATAAGGTCTTACCAGATTTTCTCCCTCACAATACCTTCAATCACCGAATTGTGGACACTGATCCCTACTGTCATATCTGCCATCAGTGTATTAACCCCAGTATTTGAAACCCTTGATAGGGAAACTGAAATTGAACCAGATGCACCCAAAAATTCACATGTTAAGCAGATAATGGGGAAAGTAGAATTTCAGAATGTCAAATTTAAGTACCCACTAAGACCAGAAGTGGTGGTTCTCAACAATTTCAGTTTAAAAATTGAATCTGGATCAAGGGTGGCCCTAGTTGGGCCAAGTGGTGCTGGAAAGTCCTCAGTTTTGGCCCTTTTGACCAGATTCTATGATCCTGAAAAAGGAAGGGTGCTAATTGATGAGATGGACATCAAAGAATACAATCTGAGAATGTTGAGGACACAAATAGGCTTGGTGCAACAAGAGCCACTTCTTTTTAGTTCTTCAATTAGAGATAATATCATTTATGGTAGTGAGGGGGCTTCAGAAACGGAGATTATTAAGGTGTCAAGGGAAGCTAACATTCATGAGTTTATAAGTAACTTGCCTGATGGATATAATACAGTTGTTGGTGAAAAGGGTTGTCAGCTTTCAGGTGGACAAAAGCAACGGATAGCCGTGGCTAGGACTCTACTAAAGAGGCCAGCAATTTTGCTCCTCGATGAAGCAACAAGTGCCCTAGATGCTGAGTCTGAAAGATCTGTAGTGAGTGCCCTGGAATCGATAAATCTGAATAGCAACGAGAGTTCCTTATACCGAACCACACAGATTACAGTTGCACACAGGCTTTCCACAGTAAAAAACTCGGATACAATAGTTGTTATGGATAAAGGTGAGATTGTGGAGAGAGGTTCTCATTCAACACTAGTAACAATGTCTGGTGGTGTATATGCTAGGCTATACCAACTTCAAAACTTGACAGAAAGTTAATATAATCATTTTTTTCACCATGAAAGTTACCGTTAAGAGGTGAAAACAAGTAGATATGCCTCATAGGTCACAGTACCATGCTTTTTGTACAATGGAAAGCAAATGAGCATGTATTCATATTCATCATCAAAAGAGAAAGGACGAGTTCTAAATACATAAGAAAAGGATAAAAGCGAATAGCATAATGTAAAATCTTCTTCTAGAGTTCAATAAAGTCACTATCCATTATCTTGAGCTTCTCTATCTCCTCCCCTCTTGCTACTCCAGAATCAATATAACATAACTGGAAAACAAATATAATGTCAAACCTTATCATCAAACAATAGTGAGCTTAAATGAAATAATTTGACTGGGAAGTATAACCTGGTATTGAGGCTTCCTTAGTGTATGAACTCCTCTTTTTATTAGTTTCTTCCATCCAAGATTTTCTTTAAGTGATTTTTCCAGAGCTGCTGTTCTCTATATTTATAGTACAGAAACAATCTGATAAATATATTGGACAGTCACAATAATATTACACTAAATCATCTTCAAATATTTCTCATTGCTAGGTCCTACATATTTCCCAGTTGAATTTAGTATTTTTTTACTTTTGTGATTGCAGTAAAATACTTGAAAACTAAATTTAGCTGTCATGTCCTTCAACCTACTGTAAGCGAGAACAAATTAACAATCAAGAAATAAACATATGTGAAAAGTGAAGGGCTAGAATTCCTACATTTTTAAATCAACAGGTGTTATGGGACAATAAAGAAAATGATGATATATTTCCAGGAGAAGTTATTAGAGACAAGAAAAAGGGCAATATCCAACAACAAGAAAGATGGTCATACCAAATTTGTCTCAAAGAGGAAGGAAAAGGTGGAATGCCCAAATTATTTTAAGTAAATGGCTAGTGAAAAAGATGAAAGCTTGGTGCTGCGGTGGCAGTTGGCTTCTCTTTTGTAGGATAGTTAGCAAGCACCTTGAATGAAAATAAAGATTTTGTAAAAGTTTTTAATGGCTAACTTTTAGAAAAAGTCAACCATCCTGTTTGAATTATTAAAATAAAAATAAGTTGGAGTATGAATTTCATTCTTTTTCTGAACTGCAGCAAGAGTTGATCAAGGAGTTCAATGCTAAAAGAACGAGTTTCTTTCTTCTTCAGCAAAGGCAGTCTTGCCTTCCAAACTTAAACAAGACTTATTAATGCTGCAAATGAGAGAAACAGCTTGATCTTTTGCTATTGAAACATGGAAGGTATTTTTTACTTCTTAGTTATGGTACACAAAAATATTTTGCTTAAGGTAGGATTATAGCAAGATTTCAACGAGAAAGGAAGATGATGTATGGGGGAAATTATCTCATACACCATTTGTTTGCTTTCATCAAATCCTTGAAAAAAGAGATCAATAAATCTTCACCTTTAATCAAACCAAAATGGCTTGGAACGAAGAGTACAGCTGAGTAATTGTCAGCAGCCAAGCTAGCAAGTATAGACATGAATTTAATCCAGCAAAGATGTCTCTTAAATGAAAGGAATTAAGTATCAGTATGTTTGAATTAGCTGAATTAGCTTTATGAAGCATCTATTGGGGATGGAAAGCTAGGGTTTTTTTTTTTTTTTTTTTTTTTTGTCAGCACCAAGCTGCAAGGTAATAGACAATGAATGTTTTAAATCAGCAAAGATGTCCTCTTAAATGAAAAGGAAATTAAGATATCAGTATGTATTGAATTAGCTGAAATTAAGACTTTATGAAGCATCTATTGGGGATCGGAAAGCTAGGGTTTTTTTTTGTTTTTTTTTGTTTTTTTGATTGGTTATAAAATAAGGAAAGTATAATCCAATGCCACAGAGGATCTAACGCCGTACACAAAGTTAAGACAGGGCACACTCTTCAAAACATGGCAATTTGTAAGGCATGCTACCATATTAGTCCTATACAACCGGGTTTTTTTTTTTTTTTTTTTTTTTTGATTGGTTAAATAGGAAGTATACAATGCACATACACAAGTTAAGGACAGGGCACACTTCTTCAAACCATGGCAATTTTGTAAGGCATGCTAACCTATAGTCCTATACAACCCATAACCCATGCATGCACACTTTACACAACCAATGTGGGATCCCAAAGGACCAGCTGCTCCCTGGTGACCGTAAGTAGAAGACTCACACATCATACAAGTTCAATCCTTGTTTTTTTATTGGTTAAATAGGAAACACATAATACACACACATGGATATGGAAGGCCAGGAATTTAAATATTCATCAAATCAAATGTAAATTCTGACCATATTTCACATTTTAAGATTTTGTGATGGGGTACCCTGATAACAAAAAGTAAATATCTAATGGTAGCTTGAGTTGCTAAATAGGACTTGCAGCATTCTCATTAGATTTTAATTGTCTAATATCTCCATCTGGTTACATCTATCCACCAGATAGTTTGGCTTAAGATTTACTATTTTCATGAACTATAAAGAATGTAAAAGCTAGGAGCAGTTTGGTGCTTTTTTGAATAATATTCGATAACCAATCATCTGTCCAAAGAATGCAAGTGCTTATACTTACATGACCAGGGTCCAAAATCAAAAGATTATATTGCAGTTTGCCATTCTGTTGATGTCTGGCTTCAATCCCAACAATGGTTCTTGAGTGTCCATCATGTTGGAAGTACAAGGGCCTGCAAAAGAATAACCTTAACAATTTACGTAATATTCAACTGTCAAAACATGTGATAAAACCATTAGAGGCGGGAGGAATACATATGGGCTTTCCAAACCTAATAATCTATGTTCAAAGTAGGAGAACTAGTAGGAAAGATAATTACTTACGCTCTGTCAGTAACAATGATATGATGATGGTGAGCAGATGAGGTTGAGCAACCCTCTGAAAAGTAATTCCACACCCAATCAAGGAGAACCTGATGACCCCCCTTGCTTGAAAATTTAATTTGATTGCTTCCACCATGCAAGTGATTCACAACGGATCCAACATCCTGTGAATCATGATGTCTACCTAGCAAATACCTATCCATGGGCCCATAGACCTTCAAGGCTTTTCTCTTCAATTTTGCATTTGCAGATCCAATTTGGGCACCAGGAACAGAAAGAAAAAGAGATTCCATTTCCTTAGGACCAAAATCAACAATCCTAGCCCGGAGGCCAAAAGAACGAAAGAGTGCAGCACATTCAGTGGCTCCAATCCAACTTTTAGACCCATAAACTGAATGGTTGAAATGATGAGCACCTAGGGCATCAAAACCTCTATCCCAAGCAATTTCAAGCCATCTTTGAAGATAAGCAATCTCAGGAACAAAACAAGACCCACCAAACAAAAGCTGTTTGACATCTTCTCTATGGTAAAGTAAGAAAGAACTAAGCATTTGGATGTTACGCCATCCACAACCCCAACCAGAATCCTCAGAAGGGATGCTCTGGTAATGATCAACATAACCAGACAATAAAACCCTAGAACTAGTAAAACTATCACAATCTGATTCCAGACGCTTGCGCAGCAAGCCCATCAAACCACCACCACAATCTACTTTGACATGGTAAAAGGAGCTCCTAACCTGTAAAGCAACCAAGCAAGATACTTTCTCATCCGAAGGAGTAGAAGAGGGCGATGATGATGATGATTCAAGGGCAAATCCTTGAGCCGATTCCTTCTCCTCCTCCTCAAAGTGGCTATTGGCATGCCTATATCATAGAAAAACATTAGTATCTCTAAATTAAGCATAAAAAAAACAAATAATTTTTATTACCTTTGAATTTCTGATTGCGAAATACTAAGGTGACAAAAGGGACAACTAACAAAGGAATCCATTGCTTCTACTATATCAAACAAAATCACCGTTCTGCAATATCGACTGAGCCAACTGTTATTATCAGCAAAGAGGAAGGAAGAGGGTGAAGAGCGGGAGCGGCCTTTGAAATTCCACCTTTTCTTTAAAAGCGACTTTTGTCTGCTTCAAAATTTCCCCGGAGTCCATCAGAAATAATTTTTTTTTCTTTTTTTCCTTTTTTTTTTTTTTAACCGACAGTACACTTCCTATTTTAATAATAATTACTAATTAAAAAACGATTTTATTCATATAATTTTTTTATTTTTTTCATTTTAAATAACACATGAATAATTATTATATTAAAATAATAAGTAATAATTAATGAAAATTATTAAAAATAAGATAAAATTTAATAAAAATATAATTGACAACTTAAAGATTAACTATAATATAAAAAAAAAACTGAATTATATTTTAAGATAAATAAAAAAATAGACTATCTTTTTTGGGACGGGAGAGTATAAAAGACATAAATTAAAATTAAGTAGCTAATTAAAGATATTTTATTTAAAAAAATCAAAATTTTAATAATTAAATTCAAATCAATATGAAAACTCTAAAATTTACTATTGAAAGAAGATAAAGTCGATGCTCTCCAATTACAATAAATAAATTTAGCCCTCTATATTATTTTTTTTTTTCGAATATTAAAGAGAGGATTCGAAATTGGATTTACAAATGTGTATTTACAAATCGTATGACATAAAACTAGTAATTATCTTTAGCATGTGAGTAACCTTATGATAAAAGAATTTAAGGCTTTGATCAAACATTTTTAATCTCATATTTTTAGAATCTTTAAAATTAATTATTGACTACATAAAAACCGATAAGAATTGAGACTTTTTAATATTGGAATTTAAATATCCATAAATTTGACCAATTGAGACTTAAACATTGAGAAAAGAATACTATCACAACTATTTTCATTCTAGTTTTTTTTTTTTTTTCATTATTACTCAACAGTAAAAATTCTATTAGATTGACTAATATTGGTGGGCTCATATATGGAATATAAGTACAACAACAACATGTCTTATATGTATGTGGGTTTGACTCAGTGGGCTAAGTTAAGCCGCTCAAGGAAAATTAGTGTCCCATCGAGGAACTTAGCCCCACGGGACATGTTTGAATTGGAAGTGTCAATTAGTCTTTGGGTTGGGCCCTTTAGATATTTTGAGATAACCCTCAATCCAAAAAACATAGTTCTTTTTATTTCATTATTTATTTATATATTTTTGAGAATTCCAGTTGTCTTCCGGAAAAGTAAAAAACATGGTTCACTCATTAATGGTTTGTTCCGCAGCGGCTTTTATATTTTGTAAAAAATTAATATTTAGATTCTCGTGTTTTATGAAAAATTAAGCTAACAATTAAACGTTGTTAAAATAATTAACAGTTAAATACTGCTAAAATAGTCAATGCTAAAACAGCTAACAATGAAAAGTAAAAAACGTGATTCACTCGTTAATGGTATATTCTGCAATAGCTTTTATATTTTATAAAAAGTTAATATTTAACTTTTTAGTATTTTATGAAAAATTATTTAAATAGCTAATAATTAAACACTGTTAAAATAATTAACAAATAATAAAACAATTAATTTTGCTGAACAGATTATCATTTTGTAAAATTTTTTAAAAATAAACATTACCGTTATAAATAAATATATGAACCGATTCATATTAGAACATAATCTTAAATATAAAAAAATAAGAACGTTCAATTTAAATTATTTAAATTTTTTTTTATTTTTCAATGAAATTCAAACAAGTTTTATATATATATATATATATATATATTTTAGCAAGATATGTGAAAAATTTATTTAAAATAAAGGCTAATAATTTAAACAGTTCCTGTTAAATAATTAAAAGATGTAGATACAAACAAATTAATTTATTGCTGAAACAGAATATTATCATTGTTGTTTGTAAAAATTTTTTAAAAATAACATATTACCGTTATATAATAACATATATGACGCGCTGATCTGCGCCTCGTTGATGGCCTGATGCTCCTATTTTGTCGAGACGAATTCATATTCAGAGAAGTAATCTAAATATAAGCAAAAAATAAGAACGTCTCAATTAATAAATTTTTAAAATTTTTTTTATTTTTCAATGAATTCAACAACAAGTTTATATTATAGTGATAGTATTATAGTATATAGTTATAATATTTTAGATGAAAAAGGCTTGTTAGTTTTTATCATGGAAAATAATGAATTTTTTTAAATGAAATATATATATATATATATATATTATGAAAAGGTTGTTTTTTATATGAAAATATGAATTTTTTAATAAAAAAAACTAAGGAAAATAACTTAAATTTATTTTTAAATTAATTAAATTAGTTAAAGTTTGGCGGATGGGTGACATGTAAAATGTTAATTTTTAAAGAATTTAAGTAACATTATTTTTTAACAACTACATATTGTTATGAATGAAAGAGATAGAGAATATATTTAGTCGAATAATGAATATAATAAATTTATCATGGGGTTAGTAACTATTGAAAAAAAATTGTAGATTCTTATTACCAATACAATAAACTTATATTTTAGCTTATTAATTATTGAAAAGAAATTAAACCGTTTTTCATTAATGTAAAATATTTCTTAATAAGTTATTATAGAGTATTAATTGTTGGAAAAAGAAAATCAAGAGTTTATAATTTTAGAATGAGAATTTCTTAAAATTAGGAGATCATCAATTTAAAAGTAATAAAAATTTGACAAATAATAAAATACCACATTTGTTATGAAATATAAAAAATGGAGAGAATATAAAGAAACAGAGTTTAGAACATATGGAAAGAGTAATTCTTATTTATTAGAAAAGTTGTATCTCCATAGAGAATCTTAGTTACCAATCCATAGGATTAAAGAACTCTTTATAGGGTATAAAATACAACATAATCGACATAACCTAATACATCAAATGATATAACTCTTAATCGTAAAGGACATAACCTTACACATTAAAGGATATAATTTATCTTAAAGGACATAACCCTTTATTTCAAAGGACATGACTTATGAAAAAGATAAATAATTTTTTTAATAAACTTAATGGACATCCATTATAGAATATAACATTCATAATACTCTCCCTTAAATGTCTATTACACAAAAAATATGCAACGTTAAAACCTTACTAGGAAAAAATCTAATAGAAAAAAATTATAGTGAAGGAAAAAGAGTAAATTATTGTTTGTGTTTTAAAAATTTATTTCTCTCCCTGATGAAGACATCACTACTTGTCTTTTTCTTTAGTGTATCATTCCTTCAGGAAATATAATATATTTTAATATTATTTCTTGCAATATTATGGAGCTTGTTTTCTATGCAACCAAATTGTATGTACTTTGTACATGTCAAAATATCAATTTCAATCAGATACATTACTGGCTTGCTTTATAAATCGTGACGTCTTTCATAAATAAAGAAATGTAAATCATATATCAATCATTATGAGTATAATGATCCTTAATATATATACTCAATATGGTACTTCAAGATATAGTATTTTCATTATTGCAAAAAGATATAGTACGACGTCTTTTTCCTCTCTATATACTAAGAGATGTAGAACATATAGTCAATCATTATGAAGATTATAAGTGATCCTTAATATATATACATCAATGAATGGTATCTTGGCGTCAAGATATAAGTATTTTCATTAATTGCCCACAAAAGATATACCGTACTGGTCAGGAATTAAATAAGTTGCTTATAATCATCTTTTGGTAGGAGGTCCAAAATTAGTAAATGTAATCTTATAAAAATGACACCTCACAATTATTTATTTATTTAACGTTAATCGGGAATGAGTTTATATCCTATACAATCAAATGTTTTTTTTAATTATTTCAAGTCCATTGCGATTATATATGTATTGATTAATGACATACCATTCTTATTTATCACACATGTTTCGCTCACTTCAGGATGAGAATACAAAGTTTTAAATATTTTTAAAATTATCTTTCACTCTCAAATTTCTCCTTCTAAAGAATACTAATACTTTAAACAAGTTTCTTCATGAGTTTTAACTAATGTTCATAAACGCAAAATACATGGTTAAAAATTATAATTAATTCGTACATCATTATGAGTATAATGATCCTTAATATATATACTCAATATGGTACTTCAAGATATAGTATTTTCATTATTGCAAAAAGATATAGTACTTCAGGATTAAATAATTCTTTATCATTTTTGGAGGTCAAAATTAGTAATGTATCTTATTAAATGACCTCACAATTATTATTTTTATTAATGGATGAGTTTTATCCATATACAATCATTTCAATCCCTTGGATTATATGTATTGATTAATGAACATACATTCTATTTATAAAATGTTCGCTCTTCAGGATGAGATAAAATTTTATATTTTTAAATTCTTTCATCTCAAATTTCTCCTTTAAAGAAATTATAATCTTTAAAAAGTTCTTCATGAGTTTTAATAATGTTCATAAACCAAAATAATGGTAAATTATATTTAATTGTCTTATGAATATATTCTATCAATAAATATTCACTAATTAATAGGTTAATTTACCTCTAAGTAGAATATCATATAAAACAAATATCAATACTTCATCAAAGAAGAGTGGAAACATGATAGAATTACATCATATATTTGTTTTCCACCATAGTCATTTCTTTAAGGCGATTATACCATCTTTTCCCACATTTTCTTAATCTGTATAGAAATCTTTATAATTTACTTGACTATATTTTCAAAGTTTCAATTTGCATGTCATAAACATGTTTTAATCCTTTAAAGATTATTATTATCAAGTATTCCATATAGAGCTCTTCATAATTTCTTGAGAATTTGATTTTTGTTCTTTAAGTAACTTAAATTCTTTAGGAATTTTCACATATATATTTATATCAAATGAGCCATATAAATAGACAATCACTATTTATAATCAATGCTAGTGTTTTACGAAAATTTTATGCAACAAGTTTTAATGTTTGGATTACAAATCCAAAAACTTTACTTTTCAAATAAATTATATCCCAATTGTGCCACTCCATTTTGGCCAATCATTTTATGTCTATATTTAATACACTTATATTTAAGATCCTCATCATTTTCACAATATTAAATGTTATAAC